CTTCTATGGTTTGTGAACACGTCTACTTTCTTCTCGTTCCTTGCCTCTGTAACCATTATGGAATTTCTATAAGGCACATATATATTTTTGACCAATTTAAAATATTAACGATTTTATATTTCTACTATTATTTTACTAAAGAAAATGTGTTCCTAAGAATATTACAATTAGAATCTTAATTTTTATTTTCCTTTTAAATAATATTCTTCATGGATTAATATCGTATGCGTTTTCGTTTGAAAGATTCAATTATCAGTGAATCATACTGTATACTTTGGAAAAGTTCGCTTTCGTGCTTGCTTTCCTTGAATTCTTTTGGCAAGCATGAGTCAGTGGCTATGTTTTCTCCAGAGGACTTTGAACTACCACGTCTCGACTGGGTAAAATGAACCGAGACAAACGAAGGTTGTCAAAGGTTATTAGTCTAACTTCGCTTCTTTCTTGCTATTTATCGTCTTTATAAAAATTTTGTATGTTTTTGATACACAATTTATCTTTCATCTCTAATTCATCACATTCTTTTTTTCTATTTAAATAATTAAACGATCTATCTTTCATCACATTTTTTTTTTATTTAAATAATTAAACGATTTTTTTTTCGTTTTGTTCATTATTTTTACACATATGAAAATATTGTTTTAACTTATTGTTTTAACTTTTATTTTGAAATAAAAAATAAAGATTTTTTATTATTCTTCTAATATTTATGTGCAATTAAAATTTGAACATTAAATACATGCATTTTATTGAAAAATTAATATTTTTTATTAATTTTCTTATGATATAAAAATATTAAAAAACTAAAAATTAAATTTTTAATTATTATAGTATTTTTTCATTTTAAATATGTTTTGAAATACATTAAGTTTTTTGTTCTTATAATACATTTTTTTTTATTCTTATATCATTCGTTGTTATATATGTTGATATTACATATATGTAATATGACACATTTTTATTTTACTTATTAAATAAATACATCATCAAAATTAAAGTAGGAATGTTTATCGAGATAAGAAATAATCCGATAATCAGAATTAGTATTATTAATTAATTTAATACATTATTAATAATTAATTTAATACAATTATTATATTAATATTATATATTATATTATATTATATTATATTATATTATATTAATATATTAATATTTTTTTGACTGTATTGTCAATTTCGAATTCAATACTATTTAAATCATATTTTCGTTACATTTTTTTCTAAGATGTAGGTCACATAGTCCCCTTCTTGTACCTATCCTAGACAAGGAATCTAGGCTGTGAGCAGTACCGGGTGCATATAGGTATCGATCGTAAAACGGCGTTGCTGCAGCCTGGCCTGGTGTACCGGCGAAACTGGGTTACCTACCTAACCTATACACATCATTCGCGGATCTTGTTCCTCATTTGAACAAAGTCGAGTATGCCTCTCGTGTTTCTTCTCTGTATTTACGCGTTCGTGCAGTTTCGCCCACGCATGGCACACGTTCGTGTATCTTCGTGACTCGTCTCTCTTTTCTTTCTCTGCTTCATCGTTCTGAATGTCGTTAAGAAATATACTATCCTCATTGTCTCTTTTCTTCATCTACAATAATAATAGAAGCATATTCGCTGTAATGTATATATTCTATGATCACGGAGATATTTTGATTCATTCAAATTAATGTTTATTATCGTGAAGAAAACACTTTAAATTAAAAGATTGGATTTCACCTGCTTTATTGTATTATTTTTTATGTAGAAAAAGGAGTGATTCATTCTTTTTTTTTAATTTTTTAAGAAGATTTTTTGAAAATATATAATTATTAATCATAATTCAAGAAATGTTGAATATACATAAATATATATATATATATGAATTCAATACATAATGTAAAATTATAATATTAATTCTTTGAAATATATAATGCATTAAAAATATAATGAAATATATAAAAGAGAATATTAATCAATCTATAAATATTTACATTAATCTTTTAAATTTATAAAAATTTTGGTAGAAAATTGAATTTTCATTCATGTGAAATAATATTAAATTATTTTTTAATGTAAATTTTTTAATATAATTATTAAAATTTCAATAATATTATAAAAATAATATAAAAATTATATATTTATATTTTATATAAATTATAAATTATTTCTATTGCATTATAAGTGTGCAAATAATTTTAAGATATATTAATTCCATTAATTTGATAGTAATTAATGAAAATTAAAAATATTATTTATTTATAATTTATCTTGTTTATATCAATTTTCTAATTTGAATTTTTAAAAATTTGAAATATATTTGAAATACATATCTACATTAAATATATATGCATGTTTGATTCTTGCGGTAATAAAAAGTAAATACAAATATACGGGTGTGACAAAGTTAAAGCGAATAAACTATATGTGCGCATGCACAAGGCTGCACGTCACCTTACCCTCAAGTGTTGTGGGGCTGCGCCTACTGCATTCATGCGAGTTGAAGGGTCTGCTGTGTCGACGTCCATTACGCATGCGCAGGGTTTTGCACTCTGTCCACTGGTCTGCGCACGCGGCCGTAGGTATATATCTTCTACCCGGTGTGGGTTTGGTGTTTGACTACTTTTCAGGGCCGTAGCGTAACACGTGTATTTTGCTTTTATGATATTTGAATTCTTCAATATTGTAATAAAAATATATATAAAATAATAGACATATCATTTATAATTTAAAATATATTTCATAACATAATCTGAATCTTATTTGCTCTAAAAAAGATAAAAATTTATTAAGAAAAAATATTTATAAAAATTGACATTTTAATATATAAAAATAAAAAAAGAATTTTTATTATGATAAAAATAAAATAATAATAATAAATTTATTCATTTAATTATTTTGAACAATTCATTTAATTATTTTTTGTACATAAAAAATAATATATAATTAATTTTTTGTTAAATATTATTTAAATATTTTGTTTAGTAAAATTAAAATAATTCTATAAAATTTTAAATCATCAAGTTTGAAAGGGTACTTATAAAATCATTACACAGTCCTGTCGCTCCTTAGTTGCAGAGCGAAACGGGTAGGGGGCCGCGGATCGCGATTCGTGAGTCGTGTGAGAAGGACGAGCCTGCATCAGTCTCCGTCGCGTCCCTTGCAAAAGGGTACGCTCGTCTTCACATCATCGTTAATTTATTTCTCCTATTTCTGAGTGCACGTTACATTGCTATAAACGCGTACGTTAAATATATATTAAGCTTCGATTGCAATATCGAATAAGCAAAATTCTTAAAAAAGGGTGATATTTTGGAACTTATGGTCTCTGAGAAAGAATCTCACGCAACCTAGGAACAGTTTGACGCCGTTTCAATTTTCTGTTTAATTTAAAATCTTGTATTGCACTTTTTTTGAGCATATACGCGAGTGCTATTAAACATAGTGTTACTAAAAACGTGCGTGCATAGTGTTGCGAGTAATTCGCTTCTTTACCTGCGAACGCTTTTTTTTATCGCGTTCATAAATCTTAATACAGAGAAAACTACATAGAACGCAACTCGGTACTTTTCGGCACGCGGCCGAATACCTCCGATCATCAATCTTGAGACTTTTCTTAGTGATCCAATAGTAAAGAAAGAAGGAATATGTGAAAAGAATTTGGAGAAATCTATTGTGAATTAAAATCCTATGCTGCTGGATTTCATTCGAATACTAAATCATTGGTGGACATAACCTGTATGTGTTCTGTGAACAGGAAGTTTCCCGTAGCAAGAGTGGGTGGTACGAAGAGGGAGACGCCGGTCGAGCCTTAAATATCGATTTTGGTATGGAAGAGGTACGATAGTCCGTCCGTTTCAACGTGTCTCTTACTTTTGTGTATCTCCACGTTAAGAAGTTTTGACAGTTGAATACTAAAATACTTCATCAAGAGGAATCGCGTGCATTGAACGAGACAAAAACAATATGGCGCGATATTCTCAAGTAGAAAATTAAATTTCATGTGAAATCATTTTTGAACAATGAAATCGCATAAATAAATTAATTTGTTCTATTTGAAAAATATCGAATGAAAATGTTGCTTTCAGATCATTACGTGTACAGACATTTCGTCTATAAAACACGTCTTAGGCAGCAAAATTCGATGAATATCGATCAATCATTTAATTAAATGTTGGTCAAAGTATTTTATTCTTTTCGTTTTAATATCTTACCAATGGAAATTTTTACACTTTTCAAGAATTTGATCATTTCCTCTAATCGTCAAGAATTTCTATTTTCAAGAATGTTTTTTCAACATTATTTATATTGAATATCTTAATATGTGAAATTTAAATATATTATTAATTAATCGAAAAATAAAAAATAACATTGTTTTGAAGATGAAAATTGGAAATAATTATACATGTAAAACAAATGTTATGAATATTTAAAGAAAATTGAAGATAAAAAGAAAACAACATTACTATTAATATTTTCAAAAAGATTTCTCGTGACTTCTATAGGGCGTATTCAATTTTCATGATGAACACTGTTCAATAAGACCCTTTGTTATATTACCGATCAAGTACACGATGACATCATGGTACTGCATTGCCGATTGAAAGATTCAAAGACAACGAAAAAAGCATCAGTTAAAAATTGATGAATTTTTTATACTTAATACCATTGACCATTTGTTCATCGTGTTGAATCAATCACTAATTCTGAGATCACCAACATAAAAAAAGAAGAAACGAAGAGAAATAAAAAAAAGAAAATATTTATATTTACAGCTTGAAAAATATGCTTTTTTACGGTTACATATATTTTATATAAAAATATGAACGAATAAATACGTATGATCACTATTTCAACAATAAAAACGTTCAGAGATAAATTTATGCAATATTGTTTTTATCTATTAAATTTATAAATATTGCATATCCGAATCCTGATGCATTCGTCATTTAAAAAGATCTTAAAATCAATCTACGAAAACACATTCTTTTGATCAATTCTTTTTTCTTGATCAATTTTATCGGCCAAGGCGTGTATCATTGACACTGGATAAGAAGAAAAAGGTACATCAGGAAGAATGGTTTCGAGATATGGCGTCTCAAAGGAGGGCGCAGTGGGTGTAGCCGTGGGTGTAGGACCTATGCACTGTCTTTTACCACATTGTGGAGGGCCCCACCACCATCATCACCTTTCGGCCCCTCATCCACAAAATCCTCAGCCAGGTCATAATCACCACGTGCATCCGGTCCATCAACCACCACCCTCGCCGAGTCCCCACTTGAATCATCAGCTGAGCCATCATCAATTGACTGTTAACATTAACCATCTGAGTCATCAGCAGCAACAACAGCAACAAACCCAGCATCAACAAGCACCGCCACAGTATCGAGTTGTTACTGCAAATGCTAGTAAGTACAAGAACAAACAATGCAGAAAGAGAGGCAGGAGAGAAAAAGAAAACGATGTTGAAAATTATATTGGAAATTTTACAAACAATACTTTTTATGTAATTATTTTATTTAGAATAAATATTTATGATTTTTTATGAAATTATAAAACTACTTAAAAAATAATGACCTTTTATATTTGATGATATAAAAATTAATTTTTTTCAATATGTATATAAAATATTGCAAAATAATGAATTAATTGTCTGAATAATTAAAAATTAATATTTTAATGACTTATTTTCATTGATTAGAATAGATTTCATGATTAGAATATTAAATCATTTTATTTTATAATTTGATTATAATTGATTTTTATCAACTTAAAATCATTGATTTTTATCAACTTAAAAAAAGAATATTTTAATTATTTAAATTAGTAATTACATTTTACATAATAATTAATCTTGTAAGTTTACAAATAATAGTAATCTCTTACATTTTCTAAACGTATATATTACATATAAATTACATATATAATTATATTATATATACATTACATATATAATATTAACTAAAAAATTAAACTAAAATTTGAATTTGATTTAAAAAAATATGACTATTTTTGAATATTAATTAATATTAATTATTATTTAAAATTTATATTTACATTATTGAAACTAGAATTTGTAAATTAAAAAAATATTTAAAAAATTAATATATTAAAAAAATTTATCTTTTTAGTTTATAACAGAGGATATATATTTGTGCATTTAAATAATTCTGATATAATATTCATTATTATCGTAATTATATGGGAAAAATTTTTTCAAATTGATTTGAATATATAATTTTTAGTCTATCCAAAAAAATTCATATAATATTATTGCATCATTTTTTAACATGCAAATTAATTAAAAGATTTATTTAATATTATTTACATTGATAATATTATTTAACTTAATATATAATAATTAATAAATAATTTAATAAGAAATTTTTTATTTAAAAAATATTAACTTAAAAATTTTGATAAGAAAAAAAAAATAAAATAATGTAGTGATATAAAAATATAAAAATTTAGTTTCTATTATTTATAGTTCTTCATGTTTTCTTTGTTCATTATCTTTATAAAACTTTCAAATAAAATAGAAAAAGTTGTCTTTACTCACATTATTAGATATTTGTTTACATACTCTTTGTTTCCATTTGCTCCATGGACATACATTTTTGTGACCAATGGAAGCATTGTCTCTTTAGATTTTATATATTTATTTACATTCGTTTTTAATTAAAAAATTTTTGTTATTTACTTAAGATTTAAGTTTTTATATTCTTAACAATTGATATGATTGATTGCTAATAATGTATATTATGTTCAATTGCAATTATAATTAACTGTATCTGATATAATTTATATTGATTTGTAAAATTCTCAGTTTTTATCTTAATCTACAATTTTTTTTATTGCATAGACAATAAATATATAATACATATCTGTGTGGCACATTTATGTATGTAGAAATAGATATACATACATGAAGCCCGTTATTTTCGAACACACTGGAGGTAGTTAATTTGACCTGGTACCCTATCTGTCAGAAGTCGAATCGTTTGCATCTATTTATGGATAGACGACTAAGCTCGATTTATACTACAATGTCTATAAAAATAAATTTTTTTAATATTTTTATTTATAGTAATGATAATTATATTCTTAAATTGCATAAGTTTTTTTTTTTATAATTAATAGAATGATTAGTAATTCTGAAAATATATTTATTTTCATTAAGATTTTATAATGTTAAATATATATTTTTTTTTCAATATTTTATTATCGATCAAAATTTTTCGTATTAAATGAGTTTCCAAATTTTTATTCAATCAATAAATTGTTCATAATTTAACGATACATTACTGTATCGATATATCGAATTGCATAGTATTTAGGTTAGTCCTTAACGCCGCTGGGCGGCATTGTAGACAATTCACGATATAGGTCAATCGATAAAATGCTTTCTACCTTGTACAGTCGCGGAGCTATACATGTTCGATTCTTTCCTCTTGCATGACATGTCTCGCTACAATGACGCTACATTCTAACATTTCAAAAAATTTTTATCATTCAAAGAAAAGTTTATTAAATATTTTATTCATTTTATTTATTTAATATAGGTTAATCAAGTTTAATTATTTTTGTATTATAATACAAAAAATTTTAATTTATATAAACATATAGTATTATATAGATTCTTTTTATTAATATTTTTCAGTATTGAAAAAATTAGATATATTTATATAAAAATTTAATATTATATTAATTAATATTATAAAATATTTATAATAATAATTCTGTTTTTATCGATTTATAAAAAATATTTTGAATTTTTAATTGATTAATAAAATATCCAGCATAAACTGTTAAATTTTATAATAATCTATATCATAAAAAATAATTCTTATGTAAATTTTTATTTAATGTAAATTCTCAAAAATAAATTAATATGAATTTATATTAAAAAATATTTATCTTTTAATATACAAAAGCAATAGCAGAAAAATTTAATGGATAAAAAAAAAACTTCGATATTTATTATTTAGTATAAATAGAAATTTTATATATATAAATTATATCATTTTTCTTTTAATCTATATATATTTCGATAATATGTACTTTGCTTATAAAATTTAATATTTAAAAAATTTTACGAACAATTCTCTCAATATTTAAATATCGGAAGACTTATTACAATAACATTAATGATTGATTTCCGATGATAATATTTTTTAAAAGATCTTATTTTTATGCTTATCGCTTCAACATGTTATTGTTCTTAGATTGGGTTAGCCACGTGGCTAAAGCGTGATCGTTCTAACCTCACTTCTACTTTTATATATATTATCTTCTTATGCATTTATAATTTTTTTTTATATTTGAGTTATATTCTCTATTATTTTCAAATCATATTGATGAAAATTAAAATTTTTATATATGTTATATATCTATATATGTATTTGTTATATGATTTATTAATATAGAAAAGAAAAAGACAGAAAAGCAACGGAGAAAGGGAAAGAAAGAATTAACACCGGAAATGACGTATTACATTCCCGATTTCCAGGCCACGATTTTTTCATTCTGCTGATATATATGCTTTAGATAGCCAATGCTTAAACAATAAATAATAATAAATAGATAATAATTCTTCAATTTTTGGAATATGATTGTATATCAAAAATAAAGTGAAATATAATATTACAATTATTACAATTATTTTTAACTTCAATTATTAAATGAAAATATTATAAATAATATGATAATCAAATTTCAAAATACATTCAGTGACATTAATATTATTAATATATTATAAAAAAAATTATGAAAAAAAAGTGATTTAAAATATAATTTAAAAATAAACATGCAGTTTTTTTTTAATTATTTATAATATACTATATTATTTTATAAAATTATAATTGACATGTTATATATAAATATACTATAAATAACTATAATATAAGCGATCAATTATAATATTTCAAAATTGAAATTCTAAACATTTTTTTGAGATACAAACATTTAATTTATCATTTTTTTACTTAATACGATCCTGATGATGAAGTTCGGCCTCGCCCCCCTTTTAGTAATCAATGCATTCACGGGACTACAGATAGCAGCACTGCTCTGGCTTCTGTCCACATGTGCAAAGATGGCCGTTCGCGAGGCCGTCTTCTCGGTTTCTTTGCTCACGTTAGAGCCTTGTTGTCACTTCATTGTTCTTTCGTTGTAAAAATCTATTTATACAAATAGGCATAATATATACTTGACGAAAAACGATAACCAGCTTCGTACCGATCTTCAACGGTGAGCGTCGAAGTATCCATATTTTTTTTATTCTTTTATCTTCTATATTCTTAACGTATTTTTTTATGATGAATTCGTAGCATGTGGTGAAAAATATTTTCCACATTTTTATAATATTATTGAAAATTTATGAAGTTTTTCGAAGACTAATTCTATTACATTAAATATTTTGATAATGCAATATAATCGATTGCACTATATCTCTTAGACAATGACGACGACGTGTCAAGCGATGTCATGCAATTCCACGCATAATCGCTTTCACGAGTAATTCGTTTAACGACAGAATGGCGAGTACAATACAGTAAGATACTATCACGCATATATGAACTTAAATGTATAATTAATTTTTCTTTTTTTTTTCTTTTTTAATAGCTAAAAGATAAACAATGATAATAAAGGAGATCTTGATAGATACTTTGTAACAATTATCGATATAATTTTTTTTCGAATCATTGTTTGATGAATATCTATTCCAAATATATTTAAAGGATAAAACTAAATAAATTATTTTCTTATTTCCATATTTTACGTATAAATATAATAAGAGAGAATAATTATATATAAGAATACATTGGATTTATAAAATTTATAAATTTATCAAAAAAATAAGTAATAACATCAAATTAATGCTTATTAATTTTATTAAATATCTTCTCGAAATTCAATATAATATAATTTTATTTTGATTTTATATGATATAAAATATTAATTAATGAATATTGTTTAATTGTTAATTTATAATCGCTAGAATCAATCTCAATTTTTACATTGAATAAATAATATTTTTTTTATGTATGTGCTCTTAATTAATTTCATTAAAAAATTATTTGTTAAAGTAAATAATATAAAAAAACAAATATATGAATTTTTAAAATTATATATTATTATGGAAAAATTTATAAATCTATATATAAAAAAATTTTGTAATATGAATCGAAATAATAATGATAGAAAACAATTACACTATATTTTTATTAATATTGAAGATTCAATTATTTTTAATATCTAAATTTTTATGTATTTCAAATTAAGTGAGCGAATTCCTTTTCTTTGAATTTCAGGATCAGATTTTCATGTGTCTGGACAA